GAGAATAACTCGTTTAAAATAAATCAAAGCAACAAAGCCAAGGATATACTCTCAGAGAGAGAAGCTAGTTTTATCAACTTCAAGGAAAAGATAGAAGATCAAACCCCATCAAAATTGTTTTTTAAGAAGTATTTTAAAAGACCCAAAATCATAAAGAAAATGAGGAGACAATAAAATAATTCTTACTAAATTTATTTATTACCACTGACTTTAAATTCTTACAATCTCCCACCAGAGTAAATTATAATTGAATTTAAAATCTGTATATATACTTTCACAAATTATTTTTTTAAATAAAATCCATATATATATATATGTATCTTTCTGTATATTTTTACTTTCTTTCAAACAGATTACAAATATAAGTCTCTAAACAGTGTTCTTTTAGAATGAAGAAAAGCATTCTTCTTTCTAGGGACTATCTACCCATTAGCAAGTAAAACAAGCCTACAACATTTAATCCTCAACGTTTTTTTAAATGCTGCTGAGTACTGAAAACAAAGCTATAAAAGCACTTACTCAGACACACGAAGAATATTCTCTTTTCCTTCTTCCACAAAAATGCTGACGTTGTCTTTCACGTGTTCTACCGCCAGCAAAGCACCTAAAAAGAACAAGATGAAAAGATTTCTCCTCATAAACACTGTAGTGTTTAAAACCTGAATCATAAAGCAATTAAGGATGACTTAACACACCAATATTAAGTCTCGCAAAGGGTAAGCCTTTTTCCCAGGAGTCTATAAACAGAAAGTACTAGTCTTCTGGTTTTGGAGGGGAAAACAAAATCAGAAACCATTCCCTGGCACAGTCCAACTGCCTTCGAAGAGGCTCAGCTTCCAGTTAGGGACGCTGCAACTAATCTTTCCCTCCTTCAGGAGACAAGAAAAAAATTAGAATAGTGCTTTATAGAAAAGCTATTGTTACCAGTATTTGAGTGATTACTATGCGGTAGGCACTGTGCTAAATGTTTTATAGACTTTAAAATTTTTAATCTTTGCAGCAACCTTAAGAGATAGACACCGATATCTCCATTTTACAGGAGAGCAAACTGAGGCTTGCAGGAGCTCTAGCCCGGCAAACTCATGAGTCAACAGAGCCAAACATCAACAGTACAACGACTGAAATTTCTTTTGAGAGCCAAATTTTTTAAACTGAAACTATCTAGGTAGGTACATTGTTATTAACTTAACTAGGGTACTCCTAAGGCTTAGGAAGAGCCACACTCAAGGAGCCAAAGAGCCGCATGTGGCTCGCGATCCACAGTTTGCCGACCACGGGTCTATACTATCTATTCATTCTATAGGCATTAACACATACGAGGTCGGCCCTAGCTGGTTTGGCTCCGTGGATAACAGGAGCCGCATGTGGCTCTCCAGCCGCAGTTTGCCGACTGCGGGTCTATACTATCTATAGGCATTAACACATACGAGATCAGCCCTGGCTGCAGGGTCCCGGTTTCGATTCCCGTCAGGGCACATGTCCGGGTTGCGGGCTCGATCTCCAATAGGGGAGGGGGTGTGCAGGAGACAGCTGATCACTGATGCTTCCATCTCTCCC